ACCGTAAAAAAAACATACACAAAAAAAAAAAAAAAAAAACCAAGTCAAAATGGAAAATGAAAAAAAAAATAACCAAAAACAAAACAGCGTTGATGAAAATGAGTTTCCAAACTCAAAAGTTTTACTAGTATCAGTAAAGAGGACGAGGAGATTTCTGGAGAGGACAGCAAGGGAATTGCTAGCAGGAGGAACGAGGTACATTATCCTAAGTGGTTTAGGTGATGCTTTACCATTATGTGTCCAACTACAATCGTCCCTTCAGTCAAAAAATGCAGCCGTTGTTGTGAAAATTGAAACCTCATATAGTTACTTTAACTCGAATTATTCATATACTCCCGGGTTAAAAATTTATATGGAAAAGCACCCAGATTTTAAAGGCTCTAGAATATCACCAGGCTATGTCAGCTTCCATGACAAAACTGATGGCTTTACCCCCATTTTTGATGAAAGTCCAAATGAGTATATTTGCTCCGTAAATGCGGGAGATAGCAACTTATATGTAGGAGGTGAAGGAATCAACGGAGCCTTTGCCGATGTGCTGTCTTCGCATAACCAGGAGGTTGATAAGTATGAGGATTTGTTCAAGGTAAGCAGGGAGAGAATGACACATTTAACAAACGCGGGGGAGAGCACTACGATAATGTAACCCCTCACGCATATATGTACCAGCGTCATCGCTAGGCAACCATTTTGCGCTTGTCCAACCCTACGGGTAATGCATCACCACCAACACCGCAACACCCCACGCCCCTACAGGATCTCCTAAACAAAGCTGTAAAAGAGCATGGCGAGAAAACGGATGAGGAAATCAAATCCGTAATAAACGATAACCTAGACAAAAAATACCCAGATGTAAAACTAGCTCTTTGCAGAATCCGAAGCAGCTTAAAGAAAGGTAACGACTACTGCACGGGTGCTGTCTTCATTGTAACATTTAAAAAGAATTTCCCACATAAGAAAGAGAAAAACATGGGTATGGTATATGTCGTTGGACCAAAAGGAAAGAACTACAGCTCAGTGGAAGAATTTCTAGAGGCGGTTCATGAAACGGCAGAAAATCTAATGACGGCTCTATGTGATTACAACGGTTTAGTCAAACGTGAAGAAATTAAACACGTAAGAATGAACACATGTAGAATTTGTTTATTCTCCGGAAGCGCATACAAACATGCCAATGCTTCCAAGCTAGATGTGGCAAAAGCAATCTTGAACGGATTGGCCGTTGGATACAGACACGGACCATCCCCCAGACTCAACTTCACCTATGACGAAAATGTGTTTAAGGATGCTTGGATAGAGACCACGGGCCTGCAGGTGTTTAACCACAATGACAAGGAATAAAAAGGAGAATGAAAGAATGGAGAGGAGAAGAAGAAAAAGAAGACAGGAGAGGGGAGAGAGAAGGGACGTGTGTCATTCCATGCATATATGTGCGTATACAAAATGTAGCTCCATGTGCGTGTTTGCCAACTGTGTCTGAGAATCCACGTGCCGATTTTCTTGCACATATGGTAAATACGTACAAGTACATATAAGTAATACGCACGTGTGTACACACATATGTACAATCCTGCTTGTGTTATTATGGGATCGACTTCCTGTCCCCCTCCCCCCCCCAAAAAAAAAAAAAAAAAAAAAAAAGGAAACGGTAATTATATATCAGAGTACAAGTAAAAATGTTCAGTGACAAGAACTTCTGCAACGCTCGTGAAAAAGATAAGCGAAGATGTGGTCCATTCCTACACGAGGAACGTGCTCTGTGGTATGCGTTATGTGCATGATATAGACGCATGTGAAACAGATGCAAGCATATATATGTATGCTCATATATTTTGCATGTATGCACTTTCACATATATATATGTATATATCCCTATATATATGTATGTGCCTTCATATATATAGACGCACATCATGCGTATGCCAACAGAGATTCAAAAAACAGGCAAAACATTCTTTTTTGCCATTGCCACGTTTGCTGTGAGAAAGGAGTGTGGATTTATATTGTGTTCACAATTAAAACTATAACAAAAAAAAAAAAAAAAAATTCCACGTTGTTATTATAACACACTCACAATTCAAATTATTCAGTTCTGCATATTTACATATATTTTTTTTTTTTTTTTTTCCCCCATCAATAAGATTTTAAACATTTATCATTTTCCTATTTAAGATAAAAAATAATTCTTTTATTATCTATTTACCAGTAGATTAATTTCCTTTTTGGTCCATTTTTGTTTTCCCCGCCACCGCTTCCCCGCTTTTTCGCTACTTTCGATATAAAAAATTTTTAAAGATTAAAAAAAGAATACTTTTTAAGTGTATCCTTATTTTTAATTTCTTCTAAAAATAAGTGTTTTGATAAAGAATGGGGTTTGGGGCATCATCACAATACCCAGTTGCTTCCCCATTCTCGTAATGTCGCAACATGGGGGTGCGCCATGTGCAGAGGCCTTATCATCACTCTTCGCCGACGAACGACACACATATGTGTACCATTTTTCCAAAGTGAATGTAACGCGGTAGGTTCATATTCCCCCACTTGCGGATCAAGATGAACGCACACCGCATCCTATGAGCATACTCAAAAAGGGTGTCTTTTAATTGAGTTAATTATGAAGTTAAATAAAATGTTTGTAACGTAAAAAAAAAAAAAAAAGAAAGAAAAAATAATAATATAATTACCAATACTTAATAATTTTTAAAATTACCAATAGGTAAAAATTTTCACATTTTCAAACAAAAAAAAAAATAAAGTAAAAATGGGACACACAATAGTCAACACAATCACGTGAAAAAAAATAAATCCACGGCTGTTACGCTTATTTGGTGCGTTCCCCTTTTGCTCACTTTGCCACCACACTGCTACCTCCACTTCCTGTCGTACCTGTGGGGAACCCCTCGAGTTGGCACCTCCTCCTCATTGAACGCCAGGTAGGCATACAGCAAGGTCAGCGAGATGATGTAAACCACTACGAAAAAAAGGCTAATGAGAAGGCATGTGTCCTTGGATATGCCGAAGCACCACATAAACAGGTACTTGTACAGGACTATTAATATTACTGGTGATAAAATAATTAATAAAACAAATATAAAAAATTTCCTCAATACGTGTGAGTTCTCTTTATGTGATAGAAAGTCGTTTATTCCAAAATTCCCTCCTTCACATGCCCTGGACTCATTACTATCCCCATCACTGGCTTCGTCCGACATAGAATGTTCTTCCTCGTGGGCGTCTCTGTCATTTCCATTCATGTAATCTTGCCTGCCACTTGGTCCGTTACCAAAACGGTTGGACGACGGTTTGCTTATTCTTCTCAACATCCTTTTATTTTTTTCATTTGCTACAAAGATAGGGGGGAGTAGTCAACTAAGGGAGCAATGCTACCAGAGGGTTGGGTCGAGCCTCTCTTCACCTCTTCACAAATGCAAAACCTCCGTAAAATATTCTCCACAAAATGGGGTAAAAAATGCTGCAATAAAATCTTCGCGAAATTTATCACCTTCACTTATTTACTCACACAAACGGTTGTTAGCATTTCCATTTAATTGAAAAGGTGAAAAAATAGTTTAACTTCAAAACCGGAGAAAGCGTCAAAAGGAGGGGGCAGAACAAAAAAAAAAAAAAAAAAAAAAAAAGAACCAGTTACGTGCCCATAAAAGGTACATTCAACTTTGCCACTTTTTTTTCCCCTCTTTTTGCCTAAATAAAAAAATAAAAAGCCGCGCGTCGCCCCTCATAGGCACGTGCATACATATAATATACGTACGTGCAGAACAACTACCAATTGTACGTTACATGAAGTGAATAAAACGGCACAATAAACCCAATGGGAGGGATTTAATACATTCCCCAATTTTATCCAACAGAAAAGTATATAAAAAAATGCCACCACCACCACGCCTCCCCCCATTAGTGTTTAATTAAAGCATGGAGCTGTTGGAAATGTTCTGTAGTAACAAAACGACATGACGAAAAATCGGAAACACGTACACCACACCTCAAGGGGGGCAGGCGGGCAACGGGGGGCGAGAAATGAACAAGTAGGCGATCGTCCTAAGTAAGAGTACTTCAATGCTCCATACAAAATAGGAACACTTAAATTGCAAACACACATGCAAGTGTGCTGCTTTTTGGAACCACCGGGAGTCTACCAAAGGTGCACCCCGCCACATAATATATATTTCTTGGTGTAAGATGAAAAAAAATGTTAGTGCATAAATCTGTACAATGTCGCACGCAACCGTAAAGCTAAACGGAGAAAAGGCGGAAATCCCGGAAAAGGGTGAAAAAACACACGAGGGTGCCAGAACGGCAGAAAAAGCCTTTTCTCTGATCTCAGGAAAAAAAAAAAAAAAAAAGCCATTTGATGAGCAGACCAAAACAAAAGTGCTAATAAAGACCCTCCGCCAAAGATATGAATTGCCTTGAAATTATATATTATAAATTTAAAATTTTTTTAAATCCCATTTTGATCATTTTGGGACATGCATACACAATTGCGCGAACCGTTCAGGGTTAGTCCTCCGTTCGAGTCTCAAATAAGGCGACACACAATCGAACGCTTCTTTTAATGCACAACCCGCTTGTCACCACGCATGTGCAATTGGCTCATGTTCCATTTGGTTTTTCTTCCCCTCCGTTCGTGTCACACAGTGTTCACGCCACTTCCTCTTTCAAGACAAAACAAATTTCCAATTTTGTTCTGGAAATTTTTTGCACGAATGTGTATACGTGAAAACACCCGCTTATTTGCCACCTGGGCGAGATTTAAAAAAAATAATATTTCCCCTTTTTTTCCCTCCTTTACGCCTTAACTTTTAATCGTCACTTTGTCCCTCACTCTGCGCCATTTTACGTAACCGTTGCAACCCCTTCGCTTTAACTTCCACCGAAGTCGAAACCCCAAAATGAAAACCATCACCGAAAATTCAGTCCTCACAGAAACGATTTGCCCAAGTAAAAATGTGCTCAAGTACGAGGAAAAGGTTTTGGTGAACCGGGGGGAATCGCTCATCAAGGTGGACCCGTCTTACTACATCAAGCAAGTTAGACTTGAGCGAAATCATCGCCAGGGAAAAAAATAAAAAAATAATAAAAAAAATGTGAACCATAACACAGCCCACATACCACACTGCACAAACGCTACTTGTACACATCATTCCATACCGTTCGTTTCACTTCATTTGTTCGTGCCGAAATAATTTTCGTTACATCACCTGATGAACTTTTCGTGCTGTGCCATACCGTTACCATGACTGCATATTAAGCCTTAACGCGCGTGTGTGTCTAGCTCTATGTACGCACCTTCCCCAATGTGCGCAGCACTCATATCCGCTCCCACATCACCTTCGCCCCTCCCTTAGAAAGTGTTGAACATTCAAAACCTAAACTACTTGCTAAGCAGCTACTCCACATTCTTCGAAAACTACAGAACGCTGAGCATCCTCTCTGTGTTTAATATTTTCATAATTCTTTTTCTTCTCCTTCTATACTTATTATTTTCCCTCATAATATTTCTACCGGTAAGGGACATAAATGCACGCGTAGCATTTCGTGCAACAGGTGACAACGCATGCGCGAGTGTGTATATGTATGTGTATGTCTCCAGGCGGGGGAGTGTAAGCACCCTGTCTGAATGTGTTTCTATCCCCCCCCCCTGGCAACACATTCTCGAACATATATTACCATATACATATATATACACATACATATAGATGCTCTCACACAAATATGATTTTTCCCCCTCCTATTATGTTAGGCCTTTTTTTTGGTATGCTCCCTGTTCTTCTGTTCCTTTCCCATGTTCTACCCCTTAATTAAGGTACCACGAGAGAGAACACAATGTGTAGAAATGGGAAGAAGCATGGCGAGGCCACGTGAATCCCCGTTTAAGACAGTCCACTGGATGACCATATACAACTTTCGATGAAACCTTGCCCCACGCCCCCTTTTTTTTTTTTTATACATTTTTTTTATTTTTTAAAATTTTTTTTTAGGACAAAACACAAATAATTCTCAAGGAGGAAATAGTTTTCTGTACATGCATAACAATCGGCTCGATATTATTTTTTATATCAATTCTTTTTATATATTTGACCCCATTCGTTTCCGTTTTTTTGTACCCCTTCAATGCTGTTTTCATGCCCCTTATTTCGACCCTCATTTTGCCAATGATCGTAAGACGTGCAGAACAGCCATAGGGCGAAAAGCGCCATATTCGAAGTGGCCAATTAGATATTCCGCAAATGTCACTCCATCTATAACAGGAACCATGCAAGGGGGAAATGGGAATACATCATCATACAAACTCCACACAATGAACAATTCATTTCCTTTCCCCCGCAGCTATTCATAAACACAAGCGTGTGTGCTGTTTATGTCGCCTTCTATACCCAGGTTAGTGGAACCCTCAGAGATGGGTAAAAATATCCCTAATGCGTGTGCAAATTATGTGCGCATGATATATGCCTTTATTTGTGTACAAAAGGCATACGGAATATGCCTCCGCATAAATATTTTCTCCCCATTTGGAACACAATTTGTAGACCGCGTCAAATGTTAAACACATAGTGCAGAACGCGTCCAGATACATCTTATTCAAGATTCCCCTTTTTCACCTTTAAGAAGAGAAGCAAAAAAAAAAAAAAAAAAAAAAAAAAAAAACGGAACGGAGCGGAGCGGAGCGGAACCGAACCGAACCGAACAGACATTATACTTTTCATGGCTATTTGTCTACACATACATTACATACATAATTCGGCACCAACTGCGGAGCGCAGGAAACATATGTTGTTCACATACTACGATGCAACGCGCGGCATTCATATGCGCACGTAACACTGCAGTCGTGTCCTCGCCTTCGTGTCTTTAAATTTTTTTTTTTTTTTTTTACACAGTGTTCCACCCTTTAGTAATTACCTTTTTACACCTTCAACGACATATCTTACGCCCGTCGTTATTTCTTCTGAACCCCCTTTTCTACTCATTTGCAGAAGCTGTGTGCACATACGTATATAGATAAATGTGCACGATGGCATATGCAATTTTTTCACTTTTCAATTTTAAAACCCAACATCATTTTTAACATACCATGCGTGCCTAAATTTGTGCAACGCTCACAATGTCCTCACAAAGGGGGGAGGGTACCTTTTTTTTTTCGTTATGCCCACCGAAGGGGGAAGAGTCTACTGAAAAAAACGCCTCAATTCTTGTGTGGCTTACACAACGTACAGCTTGGTCTGTTTAAAACTGCGAGCATGAGAAGGTAATGATGTGTGCAGATAAATCAGCTAAGTTTTTCCTTCATGCCGAAGGGTACACGTGATATATACATGTGTATAATTTATACGCATTACAGGTGCCGCGAATCATCTTCACATGCATGCACATAGGGGTGCTATTTATACACACACCACCTCCCGATCTTCGTGCCTTTGGTGGGCGTTTTCTCTCATATCCTTGACTTAAATAAGTTCTATAAAATTCCTTTCCCCTTTTTTTTTTTTTATGTCCTCATTGTGTTGTTACAATTATAACTGTATTCACCAACTGTATATTTTTTTTTTTTTTTACCTCTTGTGCAAAACGGCAAAAAAAAAAAATCAGTACATGAGGCTAACTTTTGGCAAAACGTGGAGACTCTCGCATGCTGCTGCGTTAAGGGCAGGGGAAGGGAGGTGGGAGGTCATCAAACACACGTTTATATATTCAGCATTACGAATTCTCATGTGCATCATAAATGTATATAATAATGTTATATATTTATACATTTATTTTTTTTTTTTATGCTTATATTTTTTTCCGCCTGCATATACGGTGCGGGCTCTCTCCGGCATAAGTGTTTGAGAGAACAGGGTCGAAGCGGTGTGAGCTTGAGGAGAACCAGTATACATCCAGCCTACGTTCGGCCTTTCGGGACGCCTCGCATATATGAAACGACCATAGGAGCAAAATGCTTACGTCATATATTTTTATTGCATTATTATGTATGTTTGCATAAGTGCCCGTTCATGCTTAACCCCAAGAGTAGCGTACTTATGACTTTTTAATTGGCGTATAGGGGGGAGACCCTTCCGCAACTCTTACATAGCACAAAAAATAGCAAACACGGCGCGGCAAAAAATATAAATGAAAATAAACTATTCTCATCATTCAAGTTCAAAATAATTACATGTATATATTTATATGTTATCTGAACATATGTAGCTCTCTTATATGCTTCTTCTTTTGCGCAGGATTTTTTTTTTTTTTTTCCCATCACTTTTTACATGGCGACATCAAGTGTACTGTTTTTATAAACATTTTTTTTTTTTTTTCTTTTTTCCCCCTTTTTGTTCCTCCTTTCTTCATATGTATATAATTATATACATTCTTCTCCGTTTGTGATTGGAACAGATAATGGGTGATAACCCCTTGAGGGAATGTTTTTTTTTGCTATTATGTGTAGCGTGAACAAGCCAACATTATAATCGCTTGGTTTTTTTTTTTTTTTTTTTTTTTTCTCGTTTGAGCTATACCGCTGAGTTGTTTTTTTTTTATTAACAGCGGTGTGAACTGTGTATATTGCAAGTTGCCGATCGCACACATTGCAAAAAAAAAAAACGTGTTATGCATAACCGGGGTGCTTCCCATTTTTTTTGAGGCAAAGTGAAGAACGAACCCACAACCCCATCCATATAGAGGCGAATAAAGGGAAAGTGTCCCTCGCTTTTGTAAATTTTCACCAATATGAGCATAAGTAAAGACTCGTCCAACACCATGATCGACATTGAGAAGAGAGACGTGGAAGGGAAGGAAGGGAAGGATGGGAAAGTTGGATCCAAGTTGATAAAAAATGAACAGATTCTTTTACCATTAACATTCATCTTAATTGGCCTCAGTTCATTAAATGTATGGAATACAGCTTTGGGCTTAAATATAAATTTTAAATACAACACATTTCAAATAACCGGTTTAGTCTGTTCATCCATTGTAGCCCTTTTCATCAACGTACCTAAGATTTTATTGCCGTACACGTTAGGAGGGCTAGCAGTATTGTGTGCAGGGTTTCAAATAGCTCATAAATTTTTTACCGACACCCAGTTTGACACATATTGCCTAATAGCCTTCATAGTTATAGGAATAGTGGCAGGACTGACCCAAACGATTGCATTTAATATTGGGACAACCATGAAAGAAAATATGGGTGGGTATATCTCAGCAGGGTTTGGTATTTCAGGAGGTTTTATATTTGTTATAAATTTAATACTAGATCAGATTGTTCCTGATAAGAAGCAGTTTGGAGTAAATGAAGCCAAGTTATTATACCTCTTCATCATTTGTGAAGTGTGTTTACTTTTGGCCATCATATTTAGTGTATATAACTTAGAGCTGTCTTCCGCAAAAAATTCCAACGAAGAAGAACACAACGACAAGGACGAAAAAGGACTCTCTTACTTAGAACTAATTAAAGACAGTTACAAAGCTATCCTTGCTATATTTTTAGTGAACTGGCTTTCATTACAATTATTTCCTGGTGTAGGACATAAGAAATGGCAACAGAGCCACAACATTTCAGATTATCATGTTACCTTAATTGTGGGTATGTTTCAAGTGTTCGATTTTGTAAGCCGATATCCACCAAATTTCAGTCATATGAAAATTTTTAAATGGTTCTCCTTTTCCCTTAACAAATTACTTCTCCTGAATTTCCTTCGTCTTATATTCATTCCTTGGTTTATTCTCCTTGCTGCTTGTGAACGCCCCTTCTTTACCAACATTGTTCATCAGTGCATTTGTATGGCTATGCTCGCCTTCACCAATGGATGGTTCAATACCGTGCCCTTTTTGGTCTTCGTCAAGGAGCTTAAAAAGGCTAAGAAGAAGAAAGACGTTGAAACTATTTCAACCTTCCTTGTCATTGCTATGTTTCTTGGTCTCTTTATGGGAATATGGACCACCTACATTTATGACCTCTTCCCCATTGTCATCATCAGACTTCCCACACCCTAAGTTCGAAGCGATTTTTTTAAAGGAGCTTGGCGATGGGATGCAACCCTAGGCCGCTGCCCCGAGGCACATCCAGTCGGAAGACATTTTCAAAGCGGTGTTAGTCGTGAAGTAAACGGGCCAATCGAAAATCGGTCCAACAACATCGCAAGCCTTGCACAAGTGCGCCTACCAAACTGTCGCCCCACGCAATGTGTGCGATAAATAAATAAAGTAACACTGACGTATATGTTTAAATTTATATCATGTATACGTCCTCATATGACACGTGTATAAATCTGTGTAGAGATGTGCACCCCTTTTGTAACCTTTTTTTTTAACATTTTTTTTAACCTTTTTTTTTTTTCCTGTACCTTGCGTGTATGTACGTTTCCAAGCCGTAATTAAAAAAAAAAACGACCTTCATAATGTTGCACATCTTTCCCTTTATAGCAAATCACAATACCGTCGAAACTGACGTGTTTTTTTTTTTTTTTTTAAATTATTGTTTTATAAAAGATTTATACAGTTTCAATAAAACATCGCTTTGTCTTGTTATAAAAAAAAAAAACTTCATCACTAACCATGTGTTGCACGTATGCATGTGTGCATGTGTGCATGTGTGCATGGTATGGTTACCCCCCCCTTTTGGAAACCTCTCCTGGGAAAGTCCTAGCCCATTATGTTCCTCCCACATGTGCTGTTACAAATGCGTAATATGTCCATAAGACCTCGTGGCGTGAGAGAATTGACACAGAAAGGGGTGGCGACGAAAGGCGCCTCGAATAAAGCGAAAAAGGTTAGCAGCGCGTCGCGGCTCCTAAGGCCACAAAAGACACAACACAGAATAATAGCACGAGGAAATGCTTCGTCAGATGTGCAAACCCAGAGTTTCAAAGTGTGTAACGTTGATAGACGCGAAATGTATGCACATAATCCCGCAGCGACGCTCACCGTAGGTTATTAAAAAAAAGGTATACTAAATAAATAATAAAGCAAATTGTATAACCCTAGTGAATGGATAAATTTTCTCTCTTTTTAAGAAAGAAGAACGAGTAGCCAAGTACATCTGCACAGTCGTGGCATCCACGTGCAAACAAACGAAAAAAAAAAAAAAATAACGGAAAAAAGGGGGAAATAAGGACAATATTAGCACTTGTCCACTTTCGCGGCACTACTTAAGTAGTACGTAATCTGCTCGTCGAGAAGGTCTATCCGGTTGTACATCTCCTGATAAATGTACTTCATTATGTCTATGTAGTTTCGTATCGTTTCGTCCTTATCCTTGGTGCCAGACGCAACTAAAGTCATATCCTTTTCCATCTTTGCGCGCAGTGACGGATCCGTCAAGTCAATCCCAATGTCCTTAAATTTCTTATATGACAACACAAGAGCGATTCCCAAGTTGGTCGGAATAAACAAATTCTTATTATTTTTAAACACGTAATTTCTCTTTTGAATATTTTCTATATGTTCATGCATTGTCGCATCAGTCCCTATCCCATATTTATCCATCAGCGAGAGTAAATCACTTTCAGACAGGTACTTGGGGGGTTGTGTGATTCCTTCCTCTACTAATAAACTGTAGGGATGGAATTCTTGGCTTATATGAAATGGAGGTATCATTTTATCATTCCATTTTTCATATATATAAATTTCTAAATAATTTTTTTTTACAATTTTTAATCCTTTACAAAAAAATTCCTCCTTACCAATACTGGCAACCACCTTGCTGTTAAATCCAATTGCGTCATCACTACATACAGCTAAGAAATGTCTGCAAATAAATTCATAAATCAACCATTCTTTTTCTTCTACCTGGTCTGTCTTGTACATATTCTTAACGGGGTGTATAGGTGGGTGAGCCTTATCATTTAGCTTCCCTTTTCTAGGCTCTCTAAAATGGTTCTCATCAGATAATTTCTTAGCATAGTAACCGAACACATCATTTTTCTTCAGCTCAGCCACAATGCTTCGTAAATTCATACTGCTGGGGAAGTAATTGGTTTCTGTCCTGGGGTAGCTAATGAACCCTTTATTGTATAACTTCTCCGCAATGTTCATGCACTGTTTGGAGGATATATGGAAGTGCTTAGACACCAACTTGGTCATTTGCAAAGTGTTCAGAGGAAGAGGACGGTATTTCTTCACTTCATTTTCGTATATATTGGTTATCGTACATAGAGGGTTTTTTACCAGCTCTTCGTAAATCAGAACCACAGCCAGGTGATCATACAACCTTATCCTCGACCATGTAAAATCAACCGTGGGAATTTTATTCTTCGTTTTTTTCTTCTTCGGTTTTTTTTTCTTGCCCACTTGTATACTCTCTTCTGATTCATCACCTGATTTAGTACCCCCCTCTTCACACAAGTACTGCATCTTAATCGACCAATAGTATTCGTTTACAAAATTTTTTATATCCATATACCTGTTTACGACAAATCCCAGGGTGGGGAATTGGCAGGGGCCATAACTAATAATGCTTGTCTGAGTCTTCACTAAATGTTCATACCTAATCGTGAGGAACCTGGTAAAAATAGAACCCATCCTTAAATCAATTTCTCTACGTACATCTACACTGTGAGCTAAATTACGATTAGGGTACTTCAAATTGTTAATGGCATGAATGATGTCCTTCTCTGTCACAGCTGAAAATTGGGCACGCTTAATTTTTATATATCTGTTCATCACGAAACAGGTGTTTATGACTTCAAAGCAGATATGCTCTCCTTCCCTATCACAATCCAGCCATAAAATTAGCACATTGCAAAACTTGGAGTATTTCTTTAAATTATTTTCTATTGTCTTTTTATCATTTTCAACGTAGATGGTAATTTCTGCGTCGAACAACACCTGGGGATCTGTGTTCACCCAGTTGCGGTACTTGTCATCAAACTTTTGCTCCGTTAAATGCCCAGTCACGGAAGTTACATACATAGACCATGTTTCGTGGCCCTTCTGGTAGTTGAACGTGAACACTGGGTTGTATTTGCTACAACTCTTTTTCTTCTGCATTTTCCCCTTGCTCAAGATGTTAGCGATTGCCGACGCAACCGATGGCTTCTCCGCGACGTTCAAGACATTTATTGGAGCCATAAATCTTGAGGAGCAAAGCGAAGCTGGGGCGACAAAAAAAAGGACTGGCTGAAATGTAACGGCCGAAATGCCCCCCCTGTGGTCATCGTGGGCGGCATGGCCTGCCACTGTGCAGCGCACAACTCAAGCGCAACGGGTGTGTTGAATCGCGCAGCGATGGCATAGCGTACAGTGTTTCCTTTTTTTTTTTTTTTTTTTTTTTTTTTCCTTCGCACACCCGACCGATGAATATGTACGAATTGGGGAGGAGAGTTGTGGTGGGGGGGATAAAAATCACTGCCCCTTTGCGCATACGGGAACCCGTAATGCCCCCCTCCATTTATTATCAACTTATGGAAATTCCAAAAGAAGTTGCCAAAAAAAAAAAAAAAAAAAAAAAAAAAAAAGATTTAATTTATTTCACTGTTCACGGGGAAAAAAGGGGATTTTCCTTTGGACGCTCCGCTAAAGGGAAGGCACGCGACGTCGATGGGGAGGGGGCGTATCTCGTCATGGGCAAGTTAAACAAGCATAATATTCTGTGGACACATCCAATAGAGGAATAAAAAAAAAAATTGGAATTTTCACTCGGTTAACATACATATGACGACTTTTTTTTTTTTTTTTTTTTTTTTCCCTCCACACATAGAGCTACCATTGTCCACGCAATGTTTATCTTCCCCCCACAATCGGCTTATCAACACCATAGAGAAAACCAACGGGATGATCACACCGTAGCAAAGGTGCCATAAAGGAAAATTCACATGTGCATATGGCACCCATATTGACCAAAGAGAGAAAAAAAAAAAAAAAAAATATGGACACGTGTAGAAATGGCTACGTTATCAGGGACAAAACCATGCAGCCATTTTTACAGCGGGGTGGATAGAAACTCACACCGTTAACTGCATCCCTGCGTTGAACAAAAAGGGAAAAAAAAAAAACTCAAAAGAAAACAAAATTCTCACACGTTCTTATGAGCACGTAATTGTGTGTCCACAAAAATTGGAAAAAAAAAAAAACCAAATACACACATATTATAATACCCATGCATATATACAACGAAATGAAAAAGTAACGAAGCAGAGGAATTGCCTTTCTGCGGAAACGACGAACTTTTCCAAACCTACCCCTCACACACAAACGCCTCCACCGCGTACACCATCACGCATACCCAATGAACGCCCAAAATAAGCCACAAATTATTGAGCATATAAACCACCCCCTCGATGACACCGTCTACGATGTGAAATGGGTACACGGCAAGTCAGACATTCTCGCTGTCGGCGAAAAATTAAATAAAAAAGGGTACATAAATGTGTATAACCTGAATAAGGGAAAGTTCACCTGTATTTCTGACCATGCAACAGAAACAGGGGTAAAGACCATCAGCCCCTTTTTCTCCTACTCCGGGGGGTACACCATTGCTTGTGGTAAGACCGGAGCCACGGGGAGCGTTTGGGGTATAGTGTGCGATGGGTACATCCACTCGTAGGGGTTCCTCCCTAAGCCCACTTCTCCTCCTGTATGTGCCTTCCCCCATATGCGTCACCAACCACAGCTGACATAACTCAACTCCGCCAGGTACGTTCGACGGAAAAATACTTCTGTACGATATTAACCGCATGTCCACGCCGTACTATACCATAAAAAAGCACACAAAACTTATAAACAAAGTAGAATGTAAAAACTACAAAAACAATAATTTAGTGGTCAGTGCCAGTAGGGATGGGTCTGTCAAAATATTCGATATCAGAACGAATAATGAAGTGAGTTATATGAAGAAAAAAAAAAAAAGGCCACGTTTCATTTTGTGGCTGTTTCATAATGGCTCCCTTAGGACGGCCGCATCATGCATGTCGCATGACGCGTACCCCCACGTCCACGTTACACCATCACGTGTGAAAAGGCCCCACGTATTACTCCCCCGCACACCCCTCCACAGGTTGTCAGTTTAGAGCCACCCAAGGACTCGGCTTACATCCCTGACTGTTGGTGTGTTGCGACAGGTGAGAGCTACTCGATACGTGCGTCCAACAAGGGCATATCAATCCCTCTAAACGTATAGTCTTACCCTAACACAGGAATGTGTGTCCTCAAATGGGCTAAGATTCTCATTTTTATGAGCCCTCCCCTGAACCATAAACACCCTTTCCACCGCCTTCAACAGGAAACAACTACATAGAAGTAAAATCTCCCTCTGGGGGAGGCGAAGAAAACCTGAATCTTTGTGCAGGATATGACAATGGGGACATCAAGTTTTTCGACTTAAAAATGATGACAGTGGAACATGAGGTAGGCAGCAGAGGGGCGAGCATTTTTTTTTTTCCGCCCTAGTTACACACACATGCACACATATATATATGCAAATAAATGGATGTATCTTACCTGCGCATGGGTTCCCTTATTTTGGGCAACAGTTTATCGCTCCACATGTTTAGTGCATGTGTGTGCTCATACGATGTAGGTACTCCCCTTTTACTACCTAGTATAACAAATATATTTTTTTCTTTTTTTGCTTCTGTTTACTCCTCGGCAAGGTCAACGTCAATAATGGCGTTTGCGCAGTGAGCTACGACAGGAAAGACACGAAAATGAACAAGTTAATTTGCTCCACCTTGGAGGGAAACATGTACATATTCAATATGGATGTGTATAGTGAAGATGTGGGATATGCCTACAGCAAGGACCAGATTGTTTCAGGTTTGTTTTGTTGCATAAAAAAAGTATAGCAACGACTGAAAGGCAGCACAGTACGTATACATGATGTCACATGTGTCGCTAATAGAGAAGTCGATGGGACAGTCAATTCTGTCCTGTAGCTGAGTCAAATTAACGAACGAGCGATCCTCTTAACCCAGCGCATTATAGTAAAAAAGGCAGCTGTGCAAAACGAAATCGTACATATGGCTTTTCCCCCTTTTAAAGGAACATGTTGGGGAACCCCCTTTTTGCCGCAAAACCGGGACATTTTTGCTTCCTTGGGAGGTGACGGAAATGTTAAAAGAGGGAGGATGCCGCGAAGGGGCGGTCAATGTTGAGACAAAGGAAAATGCCAAAGCGCCACCATATAATGTGCATTCCTGAGAGGGCACACCATGCGTCGACTGAGCATATAAGCGCGCCGGCACACACGTAAACACACATGCAAAAACACATGCACGTCGTCACCCAACATGCGTGTGCACTTTCTACCCCCTCTGTAGCTTGTCCTCTACAAATATTTGAACCCTGAGAAAAACCACATCTTTGACGAAACCAAGGGATGCAAAAGGGGCGTTGTAGGCGAATTGGAAAAATTAAATTTTCTCAAAGTGTCCACTCAACCCATAATTTCTTTCGACTGGAACATCAACAAGTTGGGCCTCTGTGCCTTCGCGTCGTTGGATCAAACAATTAGAGTTTACATAATAACGAAGCTAAATTTGTGTTAATTTTGCAGCGCAATTAAAATTTAAGGGCAGAAAAAAAGGCAAAAAAAAGTGAAAGAGACAGGCAAATGAAGAACGAAAAAGAAAAAAGAAGGAAAAAAAAAAAAATAGTTAACAAAATTGTTCAAAGTGGTGCGGGGAGGGATAAACGGGGACATTCAAAAGTTTACAGACGACGAGCAAGGCTGTGGCATGTTGCTCATTCATACCATGCGAATGAGTGGGCTCATTTCGACCACTTCGCCCAGCTAACCGACCTCGTCGCTGTTATGCCATTGATGAAGGAGTTAATTTTTGCACAGGAAGGAACGCATAACACGGAATGCAGGAAAAGGGAGAGGCAGCACCTGGCTAATGCCATCACCACCACCACCCTTTCACGCGTGTCCTACATTTTAAAAAAATATTCAGTTATCTTTTTCTGGTGGAATTTTTCGTCATTTAAACTCAGGATATGAAAACGCAAATTCAACAAATTGTCATAAAGGACTTCATGCTTTATGCTTTCATTGAGACAGCTATAATTTATAAAATTTAAAAGTACGTCGATGCTATTGATTAGCACATTTTTGTTGAAGTGGACGCTGTTGCAGTTGTGGGGTTCGTTGACGCAGGGGTGATCCTTCCTGTTTTCCACCTGTGCATCAAATGCGTTTTGATTCACACCCAGGTGGGTCCCCCCCATATGGTTTACACATATCCCGCCACCGTACTGCTGATTTGTGCCCAACTGACCGGCGCATATATCGTTGCTCCTAATCTCATTGCCACCCACACCGGGCAAACCAACGTGGTTTATGCTTAACTCATTTACGTAATTGGATAAAAAATTGGCGTCATAGTTGGGCGCGTCCTCAAACAGCTTCCTCTTTTTCTTTTCATTCTCCTGGACCATGACTGTCGTACTTCTATTTATTCCTTCGACTTACGTGACGCTGTGGCGCAGTCTATTTGGTGTAATCAATTTTGGCTCACCTTTCGCGCAAATGTTCCCTTTACCCCAATGGGCTATATGTCTCCTTGCGCACAAAAATAGGTCGCCAAAAAAAAGTGTATGTCTCGCTTTGTTCGAGTTGTGTATGTAAAAGCGTCTCGCAAATTCTTAACAATCGTTTGTTCACACTCTCAGGGCTATTTCTCTCTGTGCATACTCATCCCCAATACACATGATTGTTACACGTACGTGGCGTGCCTCAATGTGTGTTCACCTACCTCTTTTTTTTTTTTTTTTTTTTTTTGTGAAGCGGCTGAGAGTAGGATAAGTAATATATACCATGTCATGCGCACTATGTCTCCCGAGTCTTCCGTTTATTTTTCCATTTATCTGTGTAGTTTCCTTGATGTTTGAAAATGGGTGATTATTTCCCAATTTGCCTATTTTATACTTTTTATTTTTCGATCAAATTGCTACTTTTTCATTTCCTTATTTTTATCTCCATCCCATTCATCATTGTTCCCACGTCTTCGAAATTGCGCTGCACCGCATTGCTTTTTTTCCCTTCACCTCGCTGTTTTTTTTTTTTTTTTTTTTTTCACACGACCTCGCTATATTATTGCTCAGCTCTACCATTTCTTCTAATTTACTTGATTAGTGAATGATTCTGATGCTGTGTGTCGCCCCCCACCCTCACTGCAATTGCCGTATGCATGCCACATGTATAAAAACAATTTGTGTAAAACTGTGCCAGCGTGAAGAGGATATGTGTGTGGAAACATATACTCACTCACGATGAGAATTAAACCTTCCTTTTAAAAATTCACGCAAAAAAAAAAAAAAAGTAGGAAAAAAAAAAAAAAAAAAAAAAAACACCTGATCGTCATATTACTGCCACACCACCAAACATGTGACAAAAAAAAGGGAACTCATTTTTAATCGAAAAAATGGGGAAAGTGTGTAGAGGGGGTTAAATTGTTCTGTTTTAAAGGGACGAATAAGTAGACACTATTAAATTGGGGGGAAAAAAAAGGCAAGAAGCTACACAAAAGCCATACGTACACACGTAACCGAACAGCTTCGGCGAGACCATCCATCCCGTGCTTATGCGGTAAATGTGCCGACACCTGAATGAGAGTTATTATGTGCTAAAGGAACAAACCGGCATCATCGTTCCCTCTTTGCTTCCACCCCACTCATCATCGCAGCTTCCCCATTTGGTAAACTCTACAATTAGGTAAATACCATTTTTGCGCAATTGTGAAAAGGCCCCAACAGTATATCCTACACTCCGCTTGTGGATATTCCCCCGTGAGGCAAAAGAAGGACGCATTTGAAAAGGCATAAGGCACCCCCCCCCTCTACACGCACATATGAGAATGGTATGTTGTACCCTTTATGGTGATACCCAAGTGAAAAGGTTCGTAACCTCGCGAGGGCGCTTCGTTCAGTTTGGAAAGGACCTCCTATTTGAGTACTTGTGCAGGTAGGGGGAAATATCCCTCAAGATAAATATTTCCGAGTGAAAAAATCGGGAGGGCACACCTCATTGCTCAGATTACTTCACAAAACGTTGGTGCTTGGATGTATGTACATGTGGAAAAGGGAGGCTGCATGGTCGCACACGTTGCGTGCGGTGTGCAACGTCACAGGGGATCCTAGGCAACCAGCCACCTTCTGCAGCGTCAGAGTGGGTCAAGCGCACAGGAAAAAAAAAAAAAAAATACACACATATATATATTTATTTGTATCTGCTCATAACCGTTTGATCAGTGGAGCTCACACACCCTGAACAGATGGGGAAAACAAAAAAAAAACTTATGTACACACGTGCACACTTAGATCACCG